GAAGACACGTTGAGACTCTCAGTGTGTTTGCTAGTGTTTCTCACAGTATGGTTGTATGGATTTTAAGAATGAACATACCAAGAGAGGAAATTTGAGGTGATGGCCTTTTTGTGATCTTGCCTCAGAAATCAACTTCACCTCTATGGCACTTTCTCAGATGAGGCAGTCACCAGTGTGCACCCAATTCAAGGCAAGGGGACATAGAGCGCACTACTCAATGAGTAGAATGTCAAGGTCACATTTAAGAAAAACATTATGGATTGAAAGTATGATTACATCTATCTTTGAAAAATTTTTCAGCCACACTGGGAAGTACCATGCTATTGAATTGTAGCCCTTTTCTTTGAGCAGTACCACCTTACCCACTCTGTGTCCAGTCTGTTTAGTTTTCAGCCTCTGTGGACCCTCTTAAGGTTCTCAAGGGAGCCCTGACATTAACTTCCAGTGGATTTGTTGTGGACCCGTCATCTCATGTGCCTTGCTGCCACCATGCAGTGCCACCATGCAGAGGAGGAGAGGGGGCACACTCCCGGGAGCCACATTAGCAAAGAAGAGAACACAGGCAAAAAGGACCCTCATGTTGCCCTCCATCCCAGAGCTACTGACAAACAGCAGTTGACTTTCTGGACACCTCGATATCCAGTTCTCTTTGGATGCCACTTTTACACACTGGTCTTAGGATCTGTACACAGCTAACAATTGACTTCTCCTACCTCCTGCTCCCAAATGTAAATACTTGTGGTTACCTGTGTTCCGTACTCCATAACACCAATTACCATAGTTGTGTATCCTACTTTGTATTCCATAGTAAGTATAATTCTATGAATTATTATATATAGTGTGGAAAAAAATCTATAAAATAAGACACTGAATCAGTTAAGATACCTTGGGCTGAATGTAACTGAAATCATAACTCAAAATGACTTAAATGATAAAGATATTTATTATCTCCCTAACAGGGAATCTAGAGTAGGGTAGGCTTCAGGGTTGGTTGGTTCAGCAGCTCTGCCTAGATCACTTTCCGCCATCCACAGAGTCAGCCCCATCCTAAGGTTGGTTTCAGCAGGGGCAATGTGCTTCCTTTTTCTCATCTAGTAAGAAGGAGGAAGATACAAAGGGGTGTAAGTCCTTCTTGTCAGTCTCCTTGGCCAGCCTTTGTCAAAAAAAAAAAAAAATCTGGAAGTCAGTAACAAATAGTTAAAAACCAATCAAAGCCGTATGGAATGAGATCGCTGAGGAAGAATGTGCGAAGTGGGAAGAGAAGAGGCCGGCGACGGAAGTGTGAGGAGCAGTAGTATTTATAAGGGGAAGTGAACAAGTGCCGCGGGAGAAGAAGCTGCAGGAGCTGCAGAGGAGGAGGCCACAGGGCAGCGTGGTGCCAGCAGAATCCCGGAAGCCAAGAGGGGTTGAGAGGCTGACATGCGGCTGCAGCGGAGTGATCACACATCACAGGTGCTGAACATTGCCCATCGGATCTTTATTTATGAGTCAACAGGTGGTGGGAGCTGCCATTCATCTTATTGCCCTAAGTTTCTATTTGAGTTCCTAACCCCTCCTGCTACAGACTGCCTACCTGTCAGCCTTTGTTCTTTCACTGATCTCTGACTCCCCCACTAGACATGGTTCTGCCTGAAATCCGGCCTAGGCTCAG